AGATGTGCTGGCCCATGCGAATCGCTCGCTAGTCCCTCGTTGTTAACTGGGAATATGCCTCGGGGGGCCGCAGGGAAGGTCCTTTTACACGGGCCCCCTTATGCCGGTGAGTATATGTACGCCCGCGTTATTTTCTCGTCGAGATAAGATCGGCGCCGCTAAAAATAGCGTACGCACACCGGCGAGGGCGAGTGTTCGCGAGGGTACCAAAAAAATTTACGACAACCTGCGCCGGCAGGATTTTATTGAGATTGACGGAGAAGGAATGCAAAGCTTAACGGGGCCCCGCCGTGGCTCCACCATCTCCTGCTCCTCCTTCTCACGGCGAGCTTCGTTTGCGTACATATATATGTATGCGAGCTATTGACCGCTTTACATAACGAGAAAAGATACCGCAAGTTTTCACGAATGCTATCGGCATCATTATATCACGTCGCGCGAAACGCAGCTTCGTACGAGAGCGGGGAAACGGCGTCGTTTTCATCGGCGGAATGGGAACCGCGACGCGCGGACGATGTGATGATCCGCATATATTTCGAAGTTATCGAAAATAAAGTATAGCACGAAAAGATCCGCGCAGCGGCGAAGGCCGCCGCAAGGCCGAGCGTCTCTTCGTCGTTTTTTCGTCGTCTCGATCGAAACTCGCGCGTAATGGGAGCGTCATTACGCGGCAATTTAACGAGAGAACCCGCAAACAATTCGCATTAAGCGTGAAGCCCCGGAACGAGCGCCGTTACCAGTCGACGATGGAGAAAAAAAAACGAAGATGAAGAGAATCAGGGAATAAAACTGACGTAATCGAATTCGACTCTCGATGCCGCCGATACGCGATTTGTGGAATAATCTCGTATGGAAATCGCGACTCGTTGAATTTATATCGGTTTTCAAGTCGGGCGAAAACGAGCTTCTCCACACCGGTCGGAGACGTTTCTTCTGATACTTCCGACTATCGATATCGAAACCGGCCGGCGGCGATTATTCGCGCGTCACGTTAACTCGAACGCGAACGCGCGCTCATATGGACGTGGGCGAAGCGCAGATTTTTCCATAAAACGAGTCCCTCGCTCGGTGTGCGGATGTTGTTCGACCGCGGCGTATCGGGATCAATGACACGCCCGCAGATTCTCTCCCCCTTGGGGTGTATCCTCCGCGATCTCTGTGCGTGAAGCTGCGCCGGTCTCGGTGTGTATGCAGAATTCCAAGCCGCCGCCGCCGCCTTCCTCGACTTCGCGCGCAGCAGGACCTACTGGTTTCTATTTATACACCTTGAGCGCGCGCGAGACCTTGCGAACGGACGCGCTCGCTCGCAACGCACCTCTCTCGCCGTGCGAACTTAAATTTGCAACATTGTGCCGTCTTCCACAAGTATTAACTCTTTGCGCTGCTGGTATTAAGAGGAATTTTTTATTTAAATTTTTAATTTAATTATTTATGTACCTCATTATTTTGATAAGTAAGCTCGATAGTAGATCTGAATATATATCACAAGCAATTAAGTGTCATATTTTTTAAATATAATTTAAGTGTGGAATTTATATCAAATTCTGTGAATAAATTACTTATGCGGAATGCAAAAGAATTATACTTAACTGATATTTGAAAAGAAGTAAAACGAACACAGAAAAAATAGAGGAAATTAAATGCAATATCTTTTCACATTTTATTTCTCGTAGAATTAAATAGCTTTAATTAAAGAAATATTGATTTAAAATTTTTAATCCAAAGTATTAAGTGTGATCTAAATAATCTTTGAAATATTTTATAGTATCAAATTTTAATTTATTTTACACTTCAATGAGAGATACATATAAAATTTGTATTGATAATTATTTACATAAATTTTTGTCAATTTTGATGTCACTAATGTTTTTTAGCCAACTATGACACATAGATTTATATTTTTATTATAAATTTAACGTATGTATGGTTAAAAAGTACAATAATGAATTTGTTTGGTTGTTCAAACATCTTAAATAGAAAAAGTTTTTTGAAATTGTTATTTTTACAAGTTTCTTTATCTCAAATTTTTGAATTGCATGGTGATGCCATCTGATATGTTCAGCGAATACTACGCACTCGCATCACATAAACTCAGCCGATCATAGAATTCGCATTGATTTCGTCAACAAGATTGATCAGTGTGTTATTTACACATAGTCCAATATCGTGCGTAATTGATCTTCGATAAATCTTAACGATGGGAACGGAGGACACGTTATCTATAGCGGAAATTTTTAATGCATTCCAAGACTATCTGAATAATGAACAAGAAATTCGCGAGGTGCGTATCAAAGTTCTTCAAAAACGTGATCTTGATAGGTTACCGCCCATATCGTAGAAGTTTGTCGGTCACCGTATTTCTAATTCTAAAAAAAACTCACAAAAAAATACAATGCAAATCGAACAAGTGATGGATTTTGCACGGCAGCATTCTTCCTGTATTGAAGTCTCGTTCGAGATTCTCACGTGGATTAGTTTGTGTTTACATGGCGTTGAGATGTCATTGATCTTTCCATTAATGTTCAAGCAGACTCATTCAATGCCTTCCATAGTAAACAGAATAGTAAAGATGTGAAAAATGTTTATTAGCGAAGAAACACAATATTTGTTAGGTTAATTAACTTTAATACACAAGAAGCCAAATTAAATTGTAAAATAACAAAGTGCAGAGATTTATAAGATTTTTTCGTTGCAGCAAATTCGCATTATTGTCAAGGATATTGAAAAGAATGCCAGGGATATTATGATGATTTTGCAAAATATTCATAATACAACAAATGAAAGAGTGGATGAAAGTATAAGTATGTTTCTGATAAATTAGTTAGCGATTAGCTTTTGTTCCAAGTTTATATTTTGTAAACTAAAATCTGTCTTTTATTAATAATTTTCAGCTGTAGGAAATTACTGTATGAAGGCAAGAGAAATGTTTGACAAGGTTAGAGAGCAGTACGCTAAGCTGGCTCAAGTGGTGCCACACAACCAGTATTACCGTTACAACGACCAATGGCGTTTTGTCACCCAGAGACTGTGCTTTCTAATTGCTTTAGTAATATATTTAGAAGTTAAAGTTTTGGTCACCAAAGAAACTGTTGCATCCTTATTAGGAGGTACAAAAGCAACATCTTTAGATATTTTGTGTTTTATCATGCTTAAATAATAAGTTTTGTTACATTTACAGTAAAAAACAACAGAGAGGAGGGTTTCCATCTGGATCTAGAAGATTTTCTATTGGGTCTACTTCAATTGTCTGCGGAATTGGTATGTATTTTTTGTGGTTTTATCACACATATGATTGTTTTATAATGGGATGTTCTTTTTAGAGCCGTTATGCTGTAAATAGCGTAACGAATGGGTTTTACGATCGGCCTATAGAAATTGCGAGATTTGTTAATGAATTAAATGCCGGATTTCGGCTATTAAATTTAAAGAATGACATGTTGAGAAAACGTTTTGACGCTCTCAAGTATGATGTAAAAAAGATCGAGGAAGTAGTGTACGATTTGTGTATCCGCGGTTTGAAACCGTCTCCTCGGCCTATTGAGGAAACACTCGCTGAATAATATTCTTTCTGGATACTTCACACTACATACACAAAGAAAATGTGTGAAGATATGGTGTTCATTAAACGATACATAATATAGTAAATATGTGGTCTCTACGTTTTGAGTGAATTGACCAATATAGTGGGATTCTTAAACATTTTAATGATACAAATTTAATGGCAAAAACTTTTGTTTTCTTATACATTCTACATTTAAAAAATATTGCTTAAAGTTCAATATTATATAGTTATATAATTTATTTTATTTCATAATGTATAAGCAACATACATAATATTTATTTTCTGATTCTATTATACATTATGACACATTTATGTATAAGAGATTTTGGAATTAAAACATTCAGTTTTAATTTAAAAACTCAAAATTTTAAATGCTTTAAAAAAGTAAGTTACATTATTATTTTAATTTATTTTGGATTATATAGCTATAAAAATTTATATAATTTAAGTTTTTTGGTATCAAATACGTACAATAGCTCGAAATGGTCAAACCTTTGTTCTTTGTTTAAAGCGTCTATATGTATATTTTTTATTTACAATAAATATTTATATAAGATATCAATCATTTTGATATAAGAAATATTTGTACAGTTATTTTATAAAATTAATAGCCTTTGTTAAAATCAAATGTATTTAGCATACTTTCCCCTTTTATATATCTAGCATAATTTGTGGCAAATAACTTTGCAACATCTTGTGCTCGGGTCACGCCAGAATTATGTGGTGATATAGTCACCTAAAAAGACATCAATATTATTAATAAGACTGAGATCAAAGATTTTTTCAATTGCAACAAGATTCTAATAGTTACTTGTGGAAGGCTCCATAATTTGCTTTCCTTTGACAATGGTTCTTCTTTGAAGACATCTAAAATAGCAGCCGAAATCCACTTCTGTTCAAGAGCAGTTATCAGATCTGCTTCTCCAATAATGGTGCCGCGTCCTATGTTAATGAAAACGGTATCCTTAGCTTTACAATGCTGCAGAACATTCCCATTTAAAAGTCCCACTGTGTCTTGAGTCGATGGTAGTACATTAATTATATAATCACAATTTTCCAAGACGTCTGACAAATTATCCATAGTTCTATGTTCATCCAAATATAACAATTTCTCCTTTGGAACGGTACGTGTCATACCCCAGATAGTTGCTCCGAATAGCTTCAAATTTTGTGCAACTATGAAACAATAAGGAATCTTAAGAACATATAATCTCGCTTTGTTATTTCAGCTACAATAATATATTTAAATTCCAATAACTTACTAGACTTTCCTATCGTTCCTAAACCCAAGATGCCTATAGTCAAGTCACATATGAGTCTATGGTTCACAAGTTTGCCTTCTTTCTTCCATAGAGCATGCCTTTGATTCTCATATTGTTGTCTTTGATCACGTTCAAAATTAACGATTTGTGCTATCACGTATTCAGACATGGCTAGGCCGAACGACTCGTCGGAGAAACGAGTCAGTATGTAATTTTTTTCCGTATTCTGTACATTTGGAATAAACTTGTCCAAACCTGCCCATGTCGCTTGTATCCATTTGACCGATGTCAAGTTGTGAACATATGGTATCAATAAATCGCAATCGGCTACCAGTATTTCTGCGGCATTCAACTTGGACGCAGTATCTGCTTGTCCTGCGTTAAAAAATATATATTTAGATATATTTTGTAAATAATTATAATGGTAATTAAAATAATTTTTTTAATTTAATCTTTTTGCGTATTAATTTATTGTATTTTTAAGTTACACATGATTTCGACAACAGAAACCGATTTTGCCATTTAAACCAGTTTCGTTCTGCATAATTATCAATAATTAGCCTTGTCGTCGGCCATGGCTGGATTACGCGCCAAAATTCTAATGTGTCAACATTTCCCGCCCTGATATGTCTGCGCGCGCCCTCGCGGTAGTAGCAAAAGATTGCAGTAGCAGTGGGAAAATCGACAGGGATCGACACGTGGTCGTCATCGCGTGGTTGTATATACATATCGCGGCACGCTGATTAATTGAACAAATTTGCTGGAGCGCGTATGCGCAGCGACAACCGCGACAACCGCGTGCAGGATTATACACATACCTGGCAAAACGTCCAAAATGCGCAGATTCGGCAGTCGCGATCGTAAATGGTAAGATAACCTAGGAAGTGCGGAGAGAACCGCTATAATCTGAGTCATGTTGCACGCCCGTTGTTGCTCCCGATTTATTCCGCCAGGCGATTTCCGTGAAAGGAAGCTACGTGAGTCAAGTGCGTGACTCATTTGTGATCGTGCGTGAATTATTTTCGCTTGCTTTGCCAGCAAAAATGACAATAATATTCGTCGTCTCGCGCGTTTGGCGCGGATTCAACGACGGACGTTGCACGTGGGCAACTTTAGGTAACCCTTTGTCAATAGGTCTGTTCGTTTTCGGCTGCACTGCCTACATTTGATTTTTTGCCTTTTTTCAAACAGCTTAAATACACTTGTTTTAAGTGCATAAAGCGCTGCAACTCCAAAACGAACAAACCTCAGTGATAATTTTTATTTCGTATTTAGCTTTGTTCGACGGACGGACATTCACGTAGTTGTTTAGCAGCTACTTCTGGTGCGCGCCGCAAAAACAGTAACACCTGCGCGCAAATCGCGATTGATCATATCGATAACTCGCTTTTATTTTTGATTCTAATCATTGTAATAAGAACATTTCAATTCTCTTCTTTTTTACTATTGATATTATAATAATTGCATACCATAATTTAATAAGAAGCAGCAAGAAAAGTATGATTCCAACAACATTCATAAACAAAAGAATTGTGATGTTTGTAAATATGCGCACTTACAGTCGTGAGAGCACAATTTTTATCAAATGACAACAAAATACTAGTACATTTACTTTAACATGTTTTTTGTTAATTTATTTCATGCGCAGAATAACGAGCGGCAGTTGGATTCGTCCGAAGTTAATCCATGTGAAATTGACTTAACTTAAGTTTGTCATTGTTGGAATGCAGTGTGTATTCGATTTGCAGCAGGCGCGATGCACCAATAAGCGCACAGGTCTTGCTGGTTTTGCGGCGGCGGCAACGCACCGATTCCCGCGCGGCGCACGTCGGTTCGCGGAACTGCTCGGCGGCGGCCGAACGTGTTAAATGGCTGTGCGTCGGCCATGATGGCTTTGAGCAGGGACCGTGTCACGCAAACATGTTTTCAAAGTGATATATCTCGTTTGGTGACTGAGTGACCGTGTTCCAGCGCGATGGCCGGGGAACGATGAGGCCCTGAGCGCTCTCTGTGCCGGGTAATTCGGCCCCAGGGCCCCCAGCCAGGCCTCAAAAGCACGGCGTTCCACAAGCCCGAGGCCTCCCCCAGCCGACCCGACTGGCCTCACGGCGCGGCCAGCCAACCTTGGTTGTCAACACGCGCGAGCCAGCCGCCCTCAGGATGAGCAAGCTGTCGTTCAGGGCGCGCGCCCTGGACGCTTCCAAGCCCATGCCGATCTACATGGCCGAGGAGCTGCCAGATCTGCCAGATTATTCGGCCATTAACCGCGCGGTGCCCCAAATGCCCAGCGGCATGGAAAAGGAGGAGGAATGTGTAAGTTGGAATATCCAGCCTCTCGTTCCAGCATGTTTTTCCCGTCCGCCATCTTACCCACGATGCACAATTTCGTAAACAACCGGCAGATGGCGATCCGCCCATCATTATATACCTCAGAAAATTGCAAATTTTCCCTTTTTAATGCAATTACCAATTTATCTGCGACATCTTCCCATATTCTATGTACCTTCTTGTTTCCAACTTGACTTCTTATGATAGCTGTCAGCATTTGATTCACCAGCAATTGCAAACTGTTACATTACACTATATTGTACCAATTTCCTGCATCAAAATGTCAAATGTTTTTACTGTTTAACATTCTGACAACACTCTTGGGATGTTTTTTAGATACAAAAGTCTTCAGCTTGGAAGTAGCAATATATTAGAATCTGTTTTTACAAGAAAATTATAAAATAAATGTATTATTATTCCAATTTGCTTGACTTGGTTGCTCGCATTGTGATAGCCGCCATTTATGGCAAGTCATAAACACATTTATTCATGTTATGTTAAAAATATATAAATATAATCTGTGAATACTTCTTCCATTCTTGATAATAACTTAACGATGATGGTGAAACATGATTTTTGTAATATAATTAATTACAAATTGTTATTATTATTGAAAGTATTAGATATGACTATCATTATGCGATTAACGGTGATTATGATTCTTTAGACCGACACTTTGCAATTATACTTTACAATGATAAAATATGAAACTATGATGGAATAAAGCAAGTTAATCGATTTGGAACAAATTTTTCAAAATAGCACTATTAACAAATTTAATGCATTATTAACTTTTTCAAACATGTTTCTGTATATTTATTATATTGTGACAATGTTGCATATATAATAACAAAAATTATAACTTACAAATATATTGCGACTCTGATTAACCAATTTTATTCATAATGCAGGAACACCATCTTCAAAGAGCAATATGCACGGGTCTAATCATTCCTACTCCTGAAGTGACAGATCTGGCAGACGTGGAAGCTTATGACAAGATTTATCCTGCTGATTATAAGCTGCCTCGCCAATTAATACACATGCAACGTAAGAATATGGAAATTTTATGCTTATATATTTTTGCAATTGTATCTTTTAGAATAATTAATTCATAAATTTACTTGTTTTTGTGCAGCCTTTGCAATGGAACAAGATATACCTGACTACGATATGGATTCAGAAGATGAAAAGTGGGTTGACACACAAAGCCGCAAATTGGAATTAACTCCTCTCCTGTTTGAAGAGATGATGGATCGTCTAGAGAAGAATTCAGGACAAAATGCAGTCACCCTAAATGAAGCCAAGGCACTTTTGAAAGAAGATGATGACTTAATCATCGCCGTTTTCGATTATTGGCTCAACAAACGTCTTAAAACTGTAAGTATTGTATTTTTATAATGAAATTATATGAGAAGTTAAACTTAACTGTTTCATGATTCTAAATATATCAGTTGTACAAATTTTATCTTATTGATTTCTTTCTCATCCTTCTTTATAAGATTCATCAAATTTTTAAATCAATTTGTTGTCTAATGTTAACAATGATCTATTTTCTACAGCAACATCCACTGGTGTTATCGGTTAAAACGGAGAATCGATCCGGTTCATCCGCTAATAATCCATATATCGCGTTCAGACGACGCACGGAGAAAATGCAGACTCGTAAGAATCGCAAAAACGACGAGACTAGCTACGAAAAAATGCTGAAGCTTCGTAGGGATCTCAGTAGGGCAGTCACGCTTTTGGAAATGGTGAAACGCAGAGAAAAGACGAAACGGGAGCACCTGCATCTCACCATTGAGATTTACGAGAAACGGTTGGTATTGCGGACAGTAATATCGTTGCTATCATGAATTTGGATGATTACACTTAACTTGTGATGCAGGTATCAAGCGCAAGACTTCAACGGACAAGTATTGGCGGAAGTGTCAGCGTTAAGAGCGCCGAGACCAGCGTTCGCTCCGCTTTTTACCAATCAGTTTGGTGTTCATCAAAATTGGACAAACAAAGTCTGTAAAGTATGTATCGGGACTTTGAAAAAAAGAAATATTTATCGTTTGTTCTTACACTACAAGAAGTAAAATTGTCTTCATATTCGCTGTGATGGTTTAATATTGCTCTGCTCTCGCTCTAGGATGAGATAGTGCCCAGGAAAGAAAAGAGACAGTACAAAAAGCGGAAACATAAAACGGACAGCAGAGGTGGCAGTTTGGACGACACTGGTGTCCGCAGCGGGACGGGTAGCGGCGGCGGTCGAGGGAATCGTCCAGGAGTACTTGGAAGCGGACTGGACCCACTCATCAGTTCAGATGATGACAGTTCGCTTCCATCGCATTCACACTCTCAGCCCTTGTTACCCTCCGATCGCGATGATGAAGACGCCGCAGACGAAGGACAATTCGCCTTTCGTCGAAATAGAAGTAGCACTTATTTACCGGTAAGTTGTCTGTTCTTGTCTTTTTGCTTTTTATTTTTTTTATTTTTTAATTTTATTTTGTCATTGAAATAACAAATTTTTTCAAGCTGTATAACGTGAAGAATATTGAAATATGTACTTTGAGTTTTTGAGTTATTCTTTAAACAAAACAGTAACATTAATTCATTAGGTAATTAATTTGATATATTATTTATTTTTTATTATGTGAATATTAAATGTTTGACTGTAACGATTAAATTATCACACATTATTATTGTCATTTGATTCAGATAAAAATCTGATCAATATCAATGACATGTTTAGCTATACATTTCCGTGAATAATTGCCATTGAACAGACTTAGAAAAACAGTTCTTTTTTTCAAGATTGTAGATATAAAGCTTTTCTCTTTGCAGCCTGTATCAGGTGGTTTTGGAAATTGGCCTTGGTGTGATAAGGATGAAGGCGGTTTGGCTGATAAGAAGTACAGGTTTGCGCTGACTAGCATTAGCAAGCCAGTACCAAGGTGTATTGGCCTCGCACGGCGAAGGATGGGTCGAGGTGGCAGGTACGACATGAATCGACGCAGCGCACGTTGTGAGACTAAACATCTGTTGGACGTTTCTTTATTGCTATTGAAATTTGTAGAATGATACTGGATCGCTGCACAGCTGATATGGATGAGATGTGGTCCTCTTTAGACTACACAATACACGACTCCGGGCGTGAGCCAGCAGATTCAACCGTGACTGCCACAGCAACGACTATCGTTAAACAAGAATGGTATATCTTCATAATATTTATGATATATTAAGTTATATTGTTATTTTATACTGGTAAATTTGTGATATATAATAATATAGTAATAATTGTGGTACTGCAAGCTGCATAGTGTTTTTATTTTGTAGGCCACATTTCCGACCGAAGACTCCGCCGGAGTCGACGCGCAAGCGGAGTCGGAGTCCAAGCGAGGAAAGTAATTACGACACGGACTCGGATGTAGAGTCAGCGGTGTCTCGATCTAAGCTTCCATACCCGTTCCCGCCCGAGGCGACGTCCATATGCATCGAGGTGGAGCCGGAACGTGCGAGTGACGAAGTGCCGTTCACGTCGGAGTTCAATATCGCGGATTATTTCACGCCGGACGCTATGTCGGACTTCGAGGTCGCCGTGGCGGGTCTCAGTAGTACGGGTAGTGCTTACGTCAGTGGTGATCCGTCAGACAGTGGCGTGAATATATCGCGGACAGACGACGGACTGGGCAGTTCGCATTTCGTCGTGACACCGCTGATGAATAATTTGTTCGCGCCACCCCCGACGCCGGCCCGGCCTCCTCAGTGCAGTGGTGGTTCTAGTGGCGGTTCTAGTGTTGTACATACTTCTACGAGTTCTTCGTCGATTCCTCAGTCGTCCTCCGTCGTCGCGTGCACGACCAATCAGGCTGTAGCGTCGAGTACAGTGTCCACCCAGTGCGCCGTCGGTATCGGTGCCGCGGTCGACGCGCAGTTGAATCACCAGCCCAAGCAGCAGCAGCAACACAGACAATTGCCGAACAACAGTATCGTTGCCTCCATTCTTTCGAAATCCTTGACTAGTCCGACAAATAATAGGAATGGCGGCAGTTGCAGCGGTAACGGCGGCAGTGGTAGTGGCGGTGCGAACATTCGTGTGTTTAGTGCGAGCGCCGTGAGCAGTGGTGGCGGCAGCGGCGGTAGTGGCGGTGGCATCACAAACTTCAGTAATAGCCACCAGAACGGCCCGCTGCCGCATATAAACAATTCTAATAATCTGACAAACAGCACCCACGTCGTCAACAACCAACAATCCACGTTAGTTCTACCGCAGAAGCATCCGCCGTCCAATCTGCTACCCGGCCTGATAGCGCAAAGTAAATTGGCGAGCCTCGCGAGGCAGCAGCAACAACAGACGCAGAATCAGGCGCAACAGGTCCCAACGTCCGGGGAAATTACGCTTAATAGTAATAGGTAACGCATTTGTTTGTTTACAATACAATTTTTTAGGACAACACGAATTTTAGGATTTCCAAAGATGGCCGAGGAAATCCATAGGATAATCTTTCAACGGGTAACACTCGCAGAGTAATAAAGAATAGCACGCGAACGAAGCGCGTTTGTCCGAAGTGCACCGGCAGACCGGTCAGACGCGCAGTTTGCTTGCAGCTTTGAACGCTTCCAGCTCACATCGCGTTTATCTGATTGTAGTGAAAGTTTGGATATGGAGGTGGATGAAGTGGACAGTTCGCCGTGTGATAGCAAGCCGCAGCAGCAGCAGCTCGTACGGGCGAACAAAACAAATTCACTGGCGATGGAAGTGACATGATGCCTGCTATCGGCACCCCTGTTGCCGCCAATACGTCACTGGGGGCTTCGCTAATTCTCTCACCTTGCCTACGATGTCTGCCTCGGGCAGCGGAAGACCGGATGTGTACCGATGATGTAACTGCGCTACGT